CAAAGAAACTACAGAGAATATGTGAAATTTAGTAAACATTATTATAATCACTCTAAATGTTAAGAAAATCTAAATACCCTTTAAATGGATTAGAATCACTTTATCACTTATAAGGAGGGATCTCTTTTAAGATTCAAAAAAAGTGAAATAATTCATTACTTCAAAGTTAAAAGATCATGTTCTTTTTTCTCCTTCTATTTGTAAATGTAAACAAACAAACAGAAACCCCCACTATCCTTACAGCCTGAGCAAGGATCTGTATAATACTGTATTAGGATTATAATAAACAATGGAAAAACCTACTGTAACTTCAACCTTATTACCACTGTAAGAGTAAAACTATGCTAACGCCAGGGCCTTCCAGTAACCAAATGCTTTTGGAAAGTGTCCAGAACAATGTTATAGTAAATTTCCAACTTGTTTCATCTAAGATCAAGAAAAACAAGTCATCTAAAGTACTGGATTATACATAAATAGGCTCTAACTAAAAGTTTTACATCAAATAATCACTCAGAAATATATTTATACTCTTTAGTTAGGATGGGACCTAAAACCAGGAAGTGATCAGAGGGGACAGCTGCACCTAGGAACCCGAAGCACATATTACTTAGTATTATTTTGAGAAAATTTTCAGTACCAATAGCTTTCTTTTTGAAAGAAACAGATTTTGGCAGAATCTGTTAAAAATCATAGTTTGCAGCAATATTGAAATCTCCACTGATTCAATAATGTGGACATGTGGTGGTGTTCACTCTGGTGTCCAGCTTGAGCCACTGCTTACGAGTCTCCTGTTATCTATGGTTCAGACTCCTTTTCTATGGGTTGCATGTCTGATAGATACATACCAATTTCACATATAAACAAACATTAAGGTGCTCTATATATGTGAGTGCATATATGAATGTACATACATGACACTTCAGATAAGCTGTGATTTCTACTCATAACTTTTTTATAAAGTTCTATTAAATTGAGAAGTAAAGGCCAACAGTTAGGAGAAAAATCTAGCCAAATAACAAAGGTATTATTACAGAAACGACAGGCCAGCCAAGAAACAAGCACCACTCGGAGGGTTGCAGTACTCAGATGTATTACACCGGCGGGCTAAGGGGGGCTTCTGCTCCAAAGCTCTGAGCACCTCCAAGACATGCGCATGAGGTTTTACAGGGTAAAGTACAAGCTTGGGGTATTTGGCCAATAGGCATGGAACAGCTTTAGCAGCATCATTATCACAAAAGTGGAGGCAGGGAGGCAGCAAACCAACATTCCAAAGCCAGATATATCTCTTTGAAAATCCAGCTGGTTAGCAAAAAAGAACATGACCAGGGAATCAGCAACAAACCAACACTAATTAACTTAGATTTAAGAGTTAGTCCAGCAGAACTCAGATCAGTATTCCGATGCTTAGATTTGTGAGTTATCTTCTTAGCCCAGCCCGGCTTAGATATGTGAGTTATCTTGTTAGCCCAGCCCGGCTTTTCCTTCACAAAGGGAGCTATAAAATTAATTCTGGAAGCCAAAAAATCCCTAAACAAAGCAGGTCCACAAAACAAACCAACCCAACACATCTTCACTGAGCATTTTTAAATGTTCATGTTTCTTGTAAGTTGAGTACACCAACTTTCATTTATGAAAAATGACATCCTAGAGTAAACTTCTAATTCCTAAGAGAAATAATTCAAGTTTAAAGATCTGCTTACAAAAATAATAAAAGCAAGAGTTGTAAAGAATTGAATTTAAAAAAAGCAAGAAACATGGACGCTATCTGAAACATTAAAAATGGGATGGACTTAATATTACAAACGAAAGATCCAAAATGAACAAATCAAGCATAAATATTGCCACTGTGTTTAACATCTTCTGAAACAAGCAATGCCATTCCAGTCGATACTTGCCACAAAATTGCCATAAGTTGGTTCTACTTTTTATAAATGATGAAACAATGAAAGGTTTGTTGCAATACATTTATAACACCAATACTGAGGTATTAAGTTTCTATTAGTGATGCTTCAACTAAGGATTTGTGCTAAAAAGACTAAAATCTATTCATATAGCAGTGAAAATGAAGCCTCTAAAGACATTCAATATAAAGCTGACCCCTAAAGGCTCCCTGATGCACATTTGCAACCACTGTATTCACAATATGCAGCACACTGAACTAGCAACAGATTGTTTAAAAATAGTCTGGATTTTCAACTTCTCATTTACAGGCAACACTTTTAGAAGCAGTCATATTAAATAAATGCGTCTTTCACAGTTATGGAATGAAATTTTAAGCTGGACAGGCACCAATGCCCTGATTTTCTACTTTTTTCATAAACCATATGACTTTCACATGCTGAGAATGTTTTATGCTTTAACCTGCAGTGAAGGCTTTACATCATTTTAATGCTCAGCGCCTAAAATGCAACAGAATCACCCCACCAAATGGAAGGAATATATTTGGTTTCAACCAAACTACTAGCCAGAAAAGTTTAATGAATGCTTTTCCCACTAAGTAACTCTGCATTTCCATATATGAAAACAAACAAATGGAAAATCTGAGATGAGGGTGGATGGAAGAAAAAATATTCTTATATTTTAGTATTTTTCCAACTCCTAACAAATATTTTAGCTTTTTATTACCAAAATCATTATTGAACATTTTAAAACGCCGTATCTAACCGAACATCTTTCAGGAAAAAGAAAAACAAAAACAAAAACCCCCCACCACTCTATTATGTAGTTATATAGGATTTTCCTCCAGTTTTTGCAAAGTAACATGGTTTCTGCAAAGTAACATGTCAGGCTAAAATAAATAATTCTGAAAATCTTAATCTGTAACAAATTAAAAACTCAGCTTCCTATCAACATATTGTATGTTCTAAATTCGAGGTTTAGAAGACTAATCAATTTTTTTTCTATTCAGGTCAACCTAAATATATATGCCACCTCATGCTCATAGTCAGCTTATCTGTGTGAATGACCAACTGCAGAAATTTCAAATCAAAGGTTATAAAACATACCATAAAATTACGTACTATGTGACTTACAGTTTTTATGGAATCTAAGGTCTTTTAATGACAGGTTCAAGAATTGATAAGTTTGGAGCCAAATACTCAAATACATTAAATTCTCAGCAGTCGAATGAGAAATTATGTCAATTCCTTTAGTTATTTAAAAATCCATTACACTAAAAATTTGTCACAAAAGAATGGTTATTGAAAAACTTCTGTTTCAGACAGAAGGAAGTAAAAAATATATTATCTTAAATTCTTCTGGTGTAATGCTATTAAATATTAAAGACTGTGAGAAGCAAGAGATGTTGCAATCCTCTTTCTTTTCTAATTCTAATTGAAACTCGGAGAAAAAAAAGAATTCAAATTTTCCAAACTTGACTTCTATATATAATTCAGCTAGATCTAACTTAGTTGTGCAATTTTAAAATAAGTTTAATACAACGCAATGCAATCGTGATGTGATAATTACCTGTGGAATAAATGCAAAATAGAAACAAATGCAGGTTCTTTTCGTCGAATGATGTTAGTTTATAGCAAAACCACAAGAAGCACAACCATATAGCACAAACTAAATAAACAGGCACAAGAGGCATTATGTCCATCCAGGAAGAGAAATGTACCACGCTAAGAAAGAAGGGAAGGACTGAAGGAAGAAGGAAGACAAGCAGGCGGGCGGGCGGGCAGGCAGGGAGAGAAGGCAGAGGTTTCTATACCTGCAGGATCCCAGAGAAATGAACTAGTCACATCACTCTACCCTACTTGATACATAAGGTTTTTAAAGCTTCAGAGTAAACAAAAACAGCAAGCACTTTATACCACCATTCAACTTTACACAGTATAGCATCTTTAATGCCAACTGCATTCTCCTCTTCACTCACCCAATGCTTCCTCTCTCTTCCACACCAGCTTTCAGACAAATGCGAGACAGAGCAGGGTGGGGTAGAAGAAAAATACAAGCAGTGCCTTTTAGCTGCACCCCCCGCCCCTCCAATAATTTCCAACAGTTTTTCCTACTACGAAAATAAGTCGCCCAACCTCAAGCTACACCACAGTCATTCTGTGTCTTCAGTACGCACACAGACGCAGACACATGTCAGCACTCCCGACCCCCACCCCACGCCCCCGAATCTTAAGTAGTTTCATCTACTGAACAAGAAGACCACAACGAGAGCCCTTTACCTACTGTTTCGGGGTGAGGGTGGGTGGAGGACTGCTTTCAAAGTAGCCCCAATAGTGTAACCAAAACACGGTTCCGGAATCAAATATTAAGAACACTTTTCCTTTCCCACCTATAGCTACCGACTTAAGGATGCAAAAAGCCATCTCCACACCATCTCATCTTTACAATGCTCCAGCCTGGAGTTTGGGGTGGAGATGTGTCCCGGGAGGCGGGGAGAAGGAGTGTGAGCGGGCGACGGGACACAAACGAGTTGCTCACCGCGGCCACCCCGCGCCGCGTCGCCAGTCCAGAGGTCCGGGACCCGCACCTTGCGCACGCTTCTCCGCCCAGGCCCAGCTGAAAGCTCCGACTCGGGCTCTCCAACTTCCTCTCTCCAGAGACATTAATTCAAGGCTAACACATCACCCAAGTACACGTCACACAGTTTCAAACACAGTTATGCACCCCAAACAAACCCACACACCTCAAATTCCCCTCACAGTTTCCCAAACTCCAAACAGGAGCCCCCCACCTCCAGGATTCAAACCTTCCGCCCACCGCGGAGGCAACCAGGAGGAAAGAGTTGGAAAGCCGCCGACGCCTTTCAATTACCGCCCCCCACAAACTGCCCCACCCCAGACCCTGCATCCGGGTCACCCCCTCCGAAGCCCCCCGCTTCCTCCCTCCTCTCAGTCGGGCCGCTTAAGAGACCCATCTCCAGCCCACTCACTTTCCCCCCAAAACCCCTCCAAAAAAAAAAAAAACCCTAAACAAACAAAGTGAAGAAAAAGAAGTGAGGAAAGAGACTTAAGGCAGTCCGGCTTCCAAACCACTGGACTCACCTCAGAATCCTTGCAGAGTTCTCTCCGCCCGGCACAAACCCCCTCCCCAACGTCCCAGTACGAAGGGCTGAGGTAGGAGGAGGGGAAAGCGGGAGGGGGAGGGGTGTCTTCCGCGTGGGGCGCCTGTCGGGAGGGGACTGGGGAGGGGTTGAGGCCGGCGCAGGAAGAGGAGAAGGGGGAGGGGAGGCCCTTATCTCCCAGTCTCCCCCTGAAAACCTCCCTTGTCTCAATCACATCAGACTGACTGTCTTTGTCTGGCTGACAACCGCCATATTGATATCAACAGCCCCGCTCCCACCTGCTGCCGCCGGGCGGCCCTGGGAGTTGTAGTCCCTGCGTCCCTAGAGTAAAAGCGCGGTACTTAGCGTCCAGAGGCCCCAGAGAACTACAACTCCCGGCAAGGCTCGCGCCCATCCGCCTTCCCACTAGGGGGAGGGGAAAGGAGCGCGAGAGCCGTGGGGACTACACATCCCAGAATACCCTAGGTCCCGGGCCCAGATGAGGGACATGATATCATGCTGGGGTGGAGGAGGATGAATTGGCGGCGGGGATGAATGTGAGCTGACGGAGGGAGGTGTTCTGAAAGCAGAGAGGAAAAGGAAAGATGACCACAGTTCCCATGATGCATGGAGAGATGACTGCACTTCCCATGATGCACCGGGAAGGGAGCGTAGGGAAGAAAGACTGCATGTCCCGCGATGCTCTCGGCGAGCGGGTGGCGGAGACCGAACCGGAAGACGTTTTCTGGGTCTGAGGAGTGGAGTGACTGATACTGAACAAGCAAAAGTCCAATATGAAACTGGTGAGTCTCAGCTCCTAGGTCAGAGGGCAAAGGTGATGCCATATCCTTTTGGACTTCGTCCTTTCCTCCTTGGGAAAGGATCCGTCGCGGAGGAGGGGTGACAGGGAACTAGAAAGGAGTGAACCAAGGAAAGCTCCCACTGCCGACCCCCCGCAACGGCTAGATCTTATTCATCCTTTGGTGGGTCCCTTTGACTGTCACCTTTCTTCACACACAAACTAAGCTTGGGCTCTATGAACTAGGCTTGGCTTGGTTCTCAGCTGCCACGTGAGTGTTATATATAATTGGTTGACTTCTTTCCACGTGATTGGCACTTGATTAGCGTTTCTTCTTAAAGTTGTTGAGAAAGCTTTGGTTGCATATGAACAGAGTTTAGAAACTATTGGGTAGAACGTAATCACTTATTAAATTCCTGTTACAGACTCCTAACTGCCCTTTATATTCAGAGAAGGACGAGGTCAGGGTGTGATCTTGGAGGATTTGAGTCTTTTACCCCTTGTGAGATGGGCTGAGAGAAAGTGTTAAAACGTTCCAGTCCAGGACTATAGGCCAAGGTTAGGTGGAGCATGCCAGGATACCTGGAAAAGTCCTTGCATCACAAAACTCCAACACTTGGCTTGTAGGAAAGCTGCTCAGGCCTTTGTTTTGAGCAATTTTACTCTCAGCCTTCGCACGGATTTAACCCATTTGTTCCAACTCTATGGAATTAGTATAATCAGCATGATTAGAGTAGAAAAGTAGGTGTGAGATGTTGTTTCTCAATCTTTTAAAGTTCATGTTCTTGAAGCCAAGTGTTGTCAAGTTTTACTTTCTGTAATTTTTATAGAAAAACAAAATGTTTATTTTCTTAATTATTTGAGCATGCTTTTCCAAAGTGTGTGCATGTATACACACACATACACTACACACACAACACACACACACATACATAAATTTACGACAAGCTTATACTCTGCACAGTGTCAGCTGTTTTCTGTGAAGTCAGAGAAAGTATTAAAAGTGTATTCAACTCCAAAAGTGTCTCTATCTGAAGCTGCTTAAGTAAGAGGAAGGGCATAGATCAGTAAACCTTGAGAATATCACTTTGCTTCTGGGTCAGTTTTTGAAACATTTAAAAATGCAGAATTGAAAGTCACCACCCTTTCCCTAAAGAAGCATGCGATCTAATGAGGGAGATATAAACATAATTAAAAATTAGAATTCATTGTGTTCATGCTAAATAGAAGCACGTTCAGGGTTTAGGAATTGAGAGGAGCGTAGGGGTGCGTGGAGATTGGAAGGCAGCTCCTTGGAAAGGTGGCTAACTGATAAGAAGTGTGAGTAGGCGAGGTCCTTCCTTGAAGAGGGTTCAGCTGATTGAAGCAAAAGAGCTTGGTACCTGGTTGAAACACAGACCATGTTTCCTCAATAAAGGGTAAATCACATTTGGTGTGAAGGCAGGCAAGTGCAAAACATAGTTTTCCATAATAACTCATTTGCTGAAGGTTCCAGAGAGTTGGGGTTTAGTTTACGTATACTTTGGTTTGCTTATAAAATCCTCCTGCTTACTTTGTACTTAGAGATGTGAAAACAAAGGAAAAAGTAGAAACTCATTTTTTTAAGAACCAAAAAACACCTCAGAGAAAGAGGAAATGTTCTACCTATACTCCCTCCCTTTTGACGTTTAATCTGCAAGGTACATAACTAAAACGTGGTTGGTAGTTGATCGATAATGCAGAATATCTATCCACACAACAAAGTCGTTTCAAAAACATGGACATTCAGTACATTAGACTTCTTTCATGCCTCTCATAGAGTTGTAATAAATCCTCCCATGGCCTCAAAATTTTTAACTTTGTGTACGGCTTCAGAAGCATGTAGTAAACCATGTTTTGTTTTCTTATCATGAGACACAGAAAGACACTTTATTGAGCACATTCTTGTTGTGGAGATTATGACTTCCCAAAATATCATTCCCACGCACAATCTAGGACCACATCTTGTTGATTCTACTGTTCTTGAACAGGTCAGTTCCTCTCCAGTCCCACTAACACTGCCTTTGTACAGACCTCTTCACTTGACACTTGCAATTCAACAAGACCTGCTAAATAGTCTCCCTGCATGCAGTCTCAGCGACCCTCAAATCCATTCTCTACTCTGCATCCCAGAAGTTGTTTGAAATTGCAGAGTTCCCCTAAACCCCTCGTTAAGTAGCTTCCTTTTCCCTTAGGATAAAGTCTTATAATTCTGAACTTGACTTACTTGGCCCTGTGGAATCTGGCCCTGCCGACTTCTCCAGGCTCAGCCCTCCTCTCCCTTGAGCTCCTCCTTCCAGTTGTATTTGCACATTGTCCAGTTCTTTGAACTCCCCCTGCTCTCTTTTGCCTCTGGAGCATTCAATATGTTCCATTGCCTCCAACACTTATTCGCCTGGCTAAATTCTTCATGTTTCCCAGAGCTCTGTTTAAATAGCACTTCTTCAAAACTTCCTTGAATTAGGGACCCCTGTTATATGCTTCCAGGGCACACTTTCTTTTGGTAGTATTGGAAATTACTGGTTTTCTATCTGTCCTGCCTCTTGTAGACTTTCTGTTCCCAGGGCCCCACCCATTGTGTGATGCCACTAAATAGTAGTTGTATAGTTAATTTCTGAAGGATTATTAAGATCTGTGAATATTGTTCAGAAAAGATTAAGGAGTGAAGTCAAAACACTACAGTAAGCAACAACCAGTGGAGTAAAAATGGTACTACCTTTAATGGAGCGGTTACAGTGTCCCAGGCTCTGTGCTGGGTACGTACTTGCTCTCTAGTGTCCCATTGCATCCTTTGATATAGGTGATAGTATTCCCGTTTTACAGATAAAATAAATCTGAGCCTTTGGGAGGTGAGGTGACTCAAAGTTACATAAATGAAAAAAGTGATAGATCCAAGATCGGTACCCAAAATTCCTTCCTCAAGAGTCTTGCTTAATGAGGGCTGGGGCTCCAGCGCTGTGCACAGTGCCTGGTACCTGCTAGGTTATCTCTTACAGAAAGGAAGCCAGAATATGTACCAAGAGACCGTTAATTCAAGGCTATATTTTAAATTGGCTTTGAATGTGAATTTGGTTAAATTAAGATCTTAAAAAAGATAATAGGTAAAGAAATTAAACTTTGGAGACATCCTTGATAATCCCAGGGGCTCAATATGAGAGCATGCCAGTTGAGTGTCTGTACTACCCAGTTTAGCTTCTGTGATGCCATTTACAGTCTCTGACTTTACCCATCACCGGTGGCTTTTCACACACCCAACGGAAGACATCGGATGCCATTTATAATGTAATCCTTGTCTATCTCCTTCTTAGATACCAAGTCAGAGGATTTTAATGACTGTCTATAAGATCAGGCAGCTTTATTTAACTGAGGAAAATTCATTGGCACATTCAGTTAACCAGAATCATTTTGAAAAGAACAGGAAAATTAGAAATGTAGCCTCTAAATTAGCACATTTCAGAGCATGGACTGATTTTCGTATAGACTGAGCTAAATTGGGTGCACTCTGATGGCCAAATTGAGCAAAGGTTAGAAACTAGAATTCACCAGGGTCTTTAACACAAGACTGTGAAACAAAAAAAACCATACTGAATACATTGACAGAAATTGAGTTGGAAGCATCATGGCCAGGAACTTAGTCATTCAAGTAGATGAAGATTAAAGTGAATAAAATAATAAGCAGGTCAGGAATGCCGCATGTGTCATACTTCCTGTGGATAGTTCCAGGGATGGAGGGGCTCTTCTAGTTTATTCAGTCAACAGAGATTGTATAATGCAACCACAGTATAACCTTGGCATTCAACGTTTTAATACTTTCCATTTTAACTATTACATTTGACCCCAAAGTTCGATGACAAGGAATTATTTGTAATTTTGCTGAGGCACAGATTTGAATGTGACTTTAAGATGAATGATAATCCTCTGAATGAGCCTGATTGCCTCGTGGTCCAGGGCGCCCTGCAGTTCTAGTTGCGCTCTTGTTAAAGGTCCGAAAGAAAGGTCACTTAAATGCTTGTCATGCTACCCTTTTTGAATTTGATGGAGGAAATTATATGCTGTAGTTGTATTTACAAATTTAAAAACTCAAGAAGGCCAGGGGATATATTCTTCAGCGGTCTCTGCTCCTTTGTACAAAATGCTGTTTCATTACTGCTGGCTTTGGGAGGAAGGCTTAAACTTTTAACTCACCATTTCTCTTAAGAAAACAAATGCAGCAAAGAAATGGACTCACGGGCTGCTTCCAGTGGAGGATAAGCAAAACACCAAGGGCAACTGTAGATTATATAGAAAATATTGGCTTGAAAGAGAGAAATCCTGCCCCAAGGTCAATTTAACAAATCATTAGAAAAGGGTGTGGTTAATCTCTTCTTGGATCTGGGCATGATGGATTCCTCCTGCAGTTTTCAGACTTATAGAATCCTTTTGACTTCTTAGACTTTGGATCAAGAACAGAACATTTCTTGCTATACATTACAAATAGTCACAATTTTTACCAGGATTTAATTCGCCTATTTCGCTGTGATTGTTAAAATGTCAACCTGATTGCACTCTTTTCTGTTTCTCTTTGCTGGTTGGTTAGAGTGCCCTCGTGTGTCTTTATGATGTAATATCATTTCAAGCTTTAGAAAGGTCATGTTTTATCACCGCTTCAGTGTGATAGGTATTTTTCCCTTTAGAATGGTTTCCTCAAACTCTGAAAAGTGACATAAGGCCAAATCACATATGTTGTTCAGTAGCGCTCTGGGATAAAACTCTTGGGTATTTCAGAGTCCTAACGGTTACTCTGAAGATTAAACCTATTTTATAATTAAGATAAAAATATGTATACCAAGGATTTTTTTCAGTATCAGTTAAATTGAGAAGAAAATTTAGTATCTGTATATAATACATATTTTTATATATTATACATGTATACATAATCTGACATACAGTCCAAGCAAGCATGTCAACAGTTGCTCGTAATTGCAGTAGCACATTTATTTTGTGACT